GAGTGAGAGGACGCAGGCTGACACACTTCACAGGAAACTAATAAAATCCTATGAATTCCCCTTTTGTTTAACTCTATTTTACACCAGGAGGTCGGAGGGGGAGATCTCTCCCTATAGTAGCAGGTGCTTTATGAGAGTTGTTGCAAACACTGAAGGTTTAAATCAACGCTAGTATTTGTAGCAAAACCTGAACAACAATGTCTTGGAATAGTTTTAAAGAAAGAGCAAAAGGACTCCTGATGCGGTCTCACAACAGATGATGAACAGAGATGTTCAACCAGGCGTTCACTGACTGCATGAGGAAGCTGCTCAGCTATAAAGTAACACAGTCATTCATGAAGCAAATTTCTCTTCACACTAATGCTCTTGTGCAAAACACACCGAGGCCAAAACGAAGCACACTGTCATCGCTAGGTTATAATGGGTAGTTGTTGTCTAAAAATGTGGACTTATGTTTTATACTGAGATGTGTTTTTAATGTTTTTTTTTCCAGCCTTTTCACATCACTGAGGGTAACATTATGAACTATAGAATATAACATTAGCCCAAATTATAATTGATTCCAAATTTGGTGTCACATGACATTGGTTTATGTTTTTATCTTTTCCCCTGTTACAGTCAGTCGATTTTATTATTTTATAAAATATGTGTGCACTTACTCAACTTATACTATTTTTGATTTAATTAATTATAACAAATTAATTATATCCTGCTGCATATTGCATTTTATCTTTTACATATTTTTTTTTTTTTTGTTAAACTTTGCTATTAAAGCACTTTGAATAAACTCTGTGTGTAATAAGGTGCACATAACATGCTTGGTTGCCATGTTTAATTTGGTTATTAAAGGGTCTAAACCAGCACTGTAAAGTAATTTTTCCTTCTCTGAGTGATGTTATGTTAGCTGTGTCGGGTAATAGTTCATTGTTGAACGCAGTCCCCTGAGTCCGTCCCTGCCAGACTCCGGCCTTGTGATGATAAGATGTACCAGATCTCTGGGCAAGGACGGTCCTGAAGCATACGTAACAGTTTGCTCTCATAAGGCTACATATAGCGAGGAATGTCCAATGCACACGTGTCGTATATTGCACAAAACATGTGTATTGCATGTGGCCTGTGCTGGTATAGCTATGCCCTGAAAGGAGGCATTAGAATGTGTTCTCCAACCTGTTTATTATCAAGCTTCAACAAATGTTTCTGCGTAAGACGTCTGGGCATCTAGAAACTCCTTCTTACATGATTTAACCTGCTTAACCTGGTCGTCTACCTGCGTGGTGCTTGATAGACGATCTTAAAGGTATGAAATAAAAGCAATGTGAAATTATTTAAGACATCAATCACTACATCTACACCAGGGGTGTCGACATCCGGTCCTCGAGGGCCGCAATCCTGCATGTTTNGACTTCTGCAGAGCTTGATGATGAGCTGATCATTTGAATCAGGTGTGTTGGAAGAGGGAAACATCTAAAACATGCAGGATTGCAGCCCTCGAGGACCGCAGTTCGACACCCCTGATCTACACGGTAACTTTCTGCTTTATTTGTGTAACCTATAAATTACGCCTATAGCAATTCCAATAGTGGAAAGTATTTCAGTGCTACAGAGACGGCCCGACCTCCAAATAATCATCTCCAGATGTGTGAGAACATGCTTGTTTGGCATTGACCGCAGGAAAAATGGCGTCATCATTTTCATATTAGTGTCAGTAAAAAACAAAACAAAAAAGCAACGCCAAAATGACCATTCTATACTGCAACTACAAAATCTGTAAAAATACTCTCAACTTGATTTCTTTTCTTGTGCATAGAATTTAGCCATCGTCTCTGCCACTCTCTCCATTCACCACGCTGCAGCTTGAGCACACCAGCTCACCTACGACTCTGTTCAAACACTGTAAAATCACAGCACGCTACACATTGTCGAGCTGTAATACTGCAGTAAGTAGTCATACGTGTTCAAACTGACAACCCATTCTAATAATAGCGAGTTAGCTCCACAAACTGATAGAATCGGTGCTTTAGGTTTGTTACAGACAAACCCCAGAGGTTTCAATCAGTGTTTTTGAGACTATCATCAGTGATGTGTCTACTAGCATATAAAAAAAAACGCCACATGGATGTGTTAACAAGATAAAAAAAAACTTGATTTTCAACAAAAGCGTGTACTTAAGAGGCAAACTCTGTCCTTTTATTGACTTCCCAGGTGCAAACTTTTTCATACTTTGTTTATACACACAATAATATGACCACTTCATGAAATATGGTGTATTATAACAATTACACTCCCCAACAGCAAATAATGCATTACAAATGTACTTCACTGAATGCACCATTAAAGTATTGCTTGCATATTAATGCATCAACGATTAAACGCTCAGAGGCGAAACTCTGTGAAATTAGTATTATAAGAATATTTAGCATGTTATTTCAGCTGCTAGGGGTTTCTTAATCAAAAAATGTACATAAAGCATAAATTGATGATCCTGTAAAGTAACGAGGGATCATGAGAGTTACTGAATTCACCATCATCACAGCAGATGTAAATCTGTCTGATGTGACTCAGGCAGAATCAGATAAATCAATATATACAGTCGTCCTCAAATGTATTCATACACTTCCATTAAAGAGAAGGCCAAATTCACAATAGTCACTCAAACAACTAGAAACTGAAAAAAGTAATAATAAAGAAAAATTTGCTAAATTATAATCTAGTGAAATATGACATTGATTTTGAATTGTGTTTGAAAAGAATAATTAAAAAAACAAAAACAAAAACTGATGAGCAGTGGGCCAAAATCAAAATACCTGTCAACAGGTGCAGAAGTCTGACTGAGAGTTACAGAAAACACTTGATTACAGTGATTGTCTCAAAGGTTTGTTCAACTAAATATTAGTTTAGGGGCTCCATCATGCTTGTTTTTGTTTGTTTGTTTGTTTGTTTGTTTAATATTTCTGTTGAACCACAATTCAAAAGCAATGTCATGATTTTCATTATTATTTATTTATTTATTTATTACTAGTTTTGTCAATTTCAACTTATTTTAGTGACAGCTGTTTTTTCCCTTCTTTAATTGGAGGGTATGAATACATTTGAGGATGACTGTGTGATGGCATTAGCAGGAGACCAAAGTAAAAGGCACCATTTCATTAGACTTTCTGGGTTTTAGGTGGAATGTTAGCACACAAGTCAACTGTTATTAATCATTTTAATGCTGGAATGTTAAATATTACACTATTAAAACTTGTTTGGTAGGATTTTGAAAGCAGAACTCTCTAAAAAAAAGTTGGTGATTAATTTCTCTGTTGTCAACGAACCGATTAATATTTGCAGCACTATTTTTTTTCTTAATTAAGTGCCGGATGTTTTCCCGCCACTGTCAAAATAAAGGGTCCGCGGAGGGATTCCGTACAGCTGCAGGTGACCCACCTGTTTGAAGCAGAAGGGCATAGTGAGCACACTGACGCCCACGATGCTGTTCACCACATTCATGATTAGGCCCCAGTTGGACGCCGTCATTTTGACCTCCTGAGCGACGCGTCGTCCCTTTCCGGTAAGAAAATGTCAAACCACACGGAGACAGCGGCACATTGAAGGCTGCGTGTCACCGTCTAATCTCTGGTCCGCTGCGGACTAAACTCCGGGTGTGTTTTCCTCCGCCGATCAATGACGTGGCGCTCTGAGAGGAAACACAGAGTTTAACATTTAGCACACTGTCACATTGTTTTTCGTTTAATAAAACAACCCCACTACCAGATTTCTCACATAGCGCCAATTTTATTGTACAAAAAACACACAACAACATGTCATAAATATCGCAGCTTTTAGCAGAAAGCTAACTCAGGTAAGCGTTGGTAGTTTCACGAGCTCACCTTTCTCTCTCTGCGCCCTCCGCCTCGCTGTCCCTCTTTACGTTATCATCGGTAAGTCCGGGACAATAAACGTCCGCTTATCGCTGCAAAAGTTGCGTTTTTTCGTACGTGTACGAGCCACAGGTTGATAGAAACTCGGTATTAGACGTTAATAACAACCTGGCTGTTTTTCTGAACGCGTATCCAGGAAGTAGAGATTACAGTCGAGGAGGAGAAAGGAGACAACTCCGCATGCTGGGTTCAGGCCTGTGGAAATACTTGGGCGCCTACTAGCGGCCATTTTGTTGTTGCAGTTTGCTGCTGCTGGACGTGAAACGAAGCTTCGAAGTCTATTTTCTCTTTTCCAATGTACTCTTTTGCACAGTCTTTCCCTTTCAAGTAAATTTTAATTGTTTGTAGCTGCGTGTAAAGCCATTAAGGAGCTGTGAAAATGAGTTAAATACGTTTACTTCGGACCACTTTAAGGCAAGCCTGAGTTACCTTCTACATGTACATTACCTTAGACTGTGTACTTTGCTTATTAGTTAATTATAATATTGCTTTACTTCTACTTATCTGCTTTTTAGACTTTAATATTGTGCTGTTTGTTGCACTACATTTATCCAACAAAAATGTACATAAAAGCTATGATGAATTCCCATCTTAACACCTTTCATTTTACTGCTTAAGGCCTGAAGAAGTGTGTTCAACAAAAAATCGTACAAAATACTCAAATTAAGTAAGAAAAGTAATTGTAGCATCTATGTTAATTCCTTTTTTGTACACCAATAGATTTTCTAATGGCCCATTAGATTTGTGTTGTGACCTCTAAGTTGCCAACGCCGGTGGAAGATACTCAAGTACTCTACTTGAGTACAGCTTGGGAGTACTTGTACTGCTACTTGAGTATTTCCACTTACTTTCCTCTCCACTACGTCTCAGAAAAAAATATTTGACTTTCTACTCCATTTCAATTATCTTCCAGCACTAGTGACTTTTCAGATGAAGATTTGTTTCAATGGATAACATAGCAAGCATTTTAATAAAGCACATAGTTAAAGAATAAACCAGTGCTTTCCAGCCTTCCGGCTTCTTACAAACAGAAATGGATAATCAGGGTCATATTTCGGATGCCTGAGTTGTTAACAGATCCACCAAATAGTGTTTTTTTTTGTTCTCTAAACTTCTCACATGGTTTCACTTCTGTGAAAGCTTAAATGATCCAATATTTCACCAAAGATCAAAGATGAGAGATAAAGTCCCAGAACTGAAAACAGATTTGTGTATCAGAGCTTTGTTTCCTTCTTTCTTCCCCTATTAATCAACGTGACGACGACTCAGATTTATCTTCAGTCCCTGTATATAAAACTGTGTATAAGAGGTTCAAACTATCTCCACCTGCAGCAGCTACAACAGTAACACGCTGCTGACACACTGATGTTTGACTATTGATAATCTAATGATGCCGTATTTAATATTACATCAGTTATAGGGACCAAACCAGTACTTTTACTTTAATACCTACATTTTGCTGGTTTTATGTACTTTTACTTATGTAGGATATATATGCTGTAATTTTACTTGTAATGAAGTATCTCCTCATTGGGACTTTTCCTTAAGTCAAGGATCTGAATGCGTCTTTCACCATTGCACTGGATTAATTAGCAGAACTATAAAAACTTGTGGCGTAGTTTAAACAAATTAATCCCTCCTCAAATGACAAAAATCTTCCAACACATTGATGTAGCAGATTTGATCTAATAACATTATATACAATTTTATATCAATCACCTCTGCATTTTTTCTATTTATTTTTTTATAGTATGATTGTTTTTGTATCTTTCCTACCTGTGGTTATTTACCTATAATTGTGTGTTTTTTTTATAGTTGTTTTGCTACATTTACTTAACTAAAGGACCCAAGTACTTCGTCCACCGGCTCTGTAATGATAACAACACCAACAGACAAGCTTGAATCCTGTTTTTCTAAAGGCCTCAGATATTCCCTTCAGGAAAGGGAAACAAGCAACAAAAGACTAAAACAGAACAGACCGAACGTGGATGACGTCGGAGAAAATATTCAGCCTTGCACCTGAAACGTTGCTGGCAGTGGCCCGATTTTGTTTCCGTTAGTTAAAATGCCTGCCTGGTGCCCTCTCTGATAGATGACTATTGTGTTGTTTGACCAGGAAAGAGAAGAAGGAGCCTGGGGTTGGATGGGGGGGTTGACCTGAGAGCTTTCCCCCCAGCCGGGTGTGCTGTCCCCCAGGGATGAAGGATTTTCAGAGGCAAGGATGTGATGAAGCTTTGAGAGGCAAAGAAGGGGAATTTTGAACTGGAGAGAGGTAAGTGTGTGTTTCTGAGGAATTTGTACGTTCTCTTAGTATCATGTTCGTTATCTTTCTTCTAAAGCACACTTAAATATGTGGAATATTCCTCTTTAATCTTAGATATTTGTATAGATTTTGTCCTTACAGAATTTTTTAATACACTTTTCAGTCTTATTTTTTATGAGCCTTCCTTTTTTCCTATTTAAAGTTTACTATTCTTGCTTTTTAACCAGCTCCAAAAGCACTCTAACTTTTACGTAGATGATATAAATAATGTTTATTGTCATTATGTGTGCATGTGCGTATGAGCGTGTGTGTATGTGCATATGTGTATGATCAGAGAGGTTAAGACAGGAAAACCCTGGCCATTGTGCAACAGTGACCCCTCAAAATCAATGTGACAGACCGGTTGATTGGCTGGAGGGTCCTGTCTCTCTGCACCTAATCCCTCAAGGTAGACCCTCAGCCAGGCCTGCTGCGCTCGCAAGTGTGTGTGTGTACGCACGGATGTATCTGCGCTTGTATGTGTGTCTTTCTGCACCTAATCCCTCAAGATAGACCAAAGGCCATGGGATGGGGTATTAGTGCAGTTACAGGGGGTCAAGCCAGCTTGTGTGAATGTGTGTGTGTGTGTGAGACAGAAAGCGAGAGAGAGAGCTTGAGTGCGAGCACTACTCCACAGTAGTCCAATTAGACCGCAGAGTGCCCATGTATTTCTATGGGACTCAGTTATGTGTGGAGGTAGTAGTGGGTTTTACAGGGGGTAGGTGGAGGGGGGGCAAATTTTAGGGCAGATTTGGACGGATAACCCAGTTGGAGTGAAATTAGACGCAGGCATCTGGATTTGACCTCGGGCCCTCAGCATGACCCCAGGTCACTGAGGGGTCACGGGGCACAAAGCAGAGCACTGACCCTGCACAGGTCAAGCATGCGGGCGGCTGAAAGGACGCCTTTGTGGGGCCTGGCATGCTCACTATTTCCCATGAGCACCAGGGGACTGTGTCTGCCCAGGAAACTGGATCGGAGAGTGGGCCAGACGAGGTGTGTGCGTGTGTTCCTGTGTGTGTGTGTTTGTGTGTGTAGATGGAAACCATAATTGATTTTTGTTTATATTTATATTTCTGCTTGTTTGCCTTATGATTATCACTGACTGAAGGTCATCGTTTATCCTGATTTTTATTTACTGCTGCAGGTCTTGGTATGTGTTTGTTTTAGTGCATTTTGGGAAGACTTTGGTGGGCTGTGAGCTGTCAGGTAAAAAAAAAACAAAAAAAAAACCTTGCAACTCCAAATCATGTTTTAAGTTCCAGTTGTAGGATCACGTCAGTTTTAAAAAATGCATCCACCCCATGGGCTTATTCCCTTTTTAAATGCAATTCTGCCTTTTCTCAGTGTCTGGATAGTTATTTTAAAGATACATGATTTTTTACTTCTGTTTGTGTCATGGAGAGAGATATGGCTTAGATTTTTAGGTATGCCTGTGGTTGTTGCTTGTGTACATCTGTTAGCGCCTCCTTAATGAGCGCATGCACGCTGCCTCCAGTCCTGTGTGTGGCCCTCAGAGAGGCAGAGAGAAGCCCTCTGCTCCAGTAATCACATTTAATTACGCACCAGCATTAGACGGCCTATGAATAGGGTTTTTAGGCAGGCCTCTCACACAGAAATTGGCTGCATCCAGCTGAACATTGCCCACCTTTGTCCTGCCCGTCCCACTATATTCTATTAAGACTTTGTCATTTGACCATCATCAAAGCACTATGGTCTAGCACTAACAACTGCCGTACTAATGCTACACATTAAAAACGGGAAGGTAAAGGGAACAATAGGCGTTTTCTTGGCTGAACGGCTAGCGTCTGCCCCATTAATGAAGCAAATGGACCACACATTAGACTCCATCCACAATTACATAGCACCTAGAATCACAGATAAAGGATGTATAGTCTCAAGAAAATCCTCCACATCTGCTTATCGAAGGTTTAAGCAAAAATCTTAGGGTGCTTCTTTTAGAGAGGAGAAGTGGAATTTACTTTGTTAATCTCCAGGGGGGTTCTTTGCACTGTGAAATCAATTTGGAAGCAGAGCATTTTTTAAGATGATAGGGGATTTTGCGTCGCAGAGAGGAAGATGCCAAGTCACCATCTGCAGCGCTCGGCTCGGTGTGCATGCATGTGCAGCGCGTGTTTACGTGTTAATATCGACATTAATCATCGTGTTTACATGCAGGAGGAATTCTCAGACAACCTGGTTTTAGGTCAGTGCATGTAAACATCACGGTTCACATAGTTTACACTCTAAATTCAACATGTTACTGTGGCATGAAAACATTTTAGAGCTTTTAATTTATCAATGTTTGCCAATGCACCAACCAAAAGCATTACGGAAACCCTTTTGACTTGATTCCCTTTTTTTCTGTATTTCTTTTGTTGTTAATGGCATCAAGCCAATACTATTGCTGTTTTTCTTATTATTTGGCATAGCTAGAGACCAATTGAAACAACAGCCAGCTGCATTGTCAAATGTTTTATTCTGATAGTTTTTTGTTTGTTTGTTTGTTTGTTTTGATATTTAAAGATATATGTATATGGCATCAGCAAATTTACTCCATCGAAAAAATATTCTTCTGCCTCTTTTTCCCAGTGAAACTTTATGTAGTGTTGGAGTAACACACAGCGCTAATAACCATCTCATCACTTTGAATGTTTATGTGTTTAATTCACTTCCCTTGACAGCAAACAAGACAAATTTTCTACTTTGAGACACATGCGCACACACACACACCGTCTCTGAGATAGTGCCCAAACTGACCATAAATCCAGTGTGTTTTTAAAAGGCCAGACTCATAAAGAGAAGAGGTGACAGAGCAGCACTGATGGGTCAATATGGCCCCCATC